CGGGGGGGGGGGGGGGCAGGATTTTTCCTGGTACAGTGTCAGAGATCACACCTCATCACATCTCCACCCACATAGCTGGGCCTGCAAGAGCTCCCCAGTGCAGATATTACTTGGAATTCAGAGCTTGGTCTCCTAACAAAAAACCATGGACTAAATATAGACATTGGACTTACAACGCATTATAAAAACTGCCTGACATCCAACTCCCCAGGTACCTCTCCACTATTTAGCTGCTACATTCATCCCCCTTCCTTCTCCCCCCACCCAGCCTGTCTGTCACCCACTGACTCCTCAATTTACATCTTCACTGACTGCCTGCCTCACACACAGACCAGACCAGCCTCTGGCTTCTTTACTGTTTATTCCATCCAGAAAAAGCACAAACTGCAGGGGCTTCCTCAGCCTGATGAAGGCTTTTTAGACCCAAAAGCTTGCTAAGAATTCCCCACCACCACTTAAGTTGGGGTAATAAAATATAATCAGATTCACCCAAAAAAACCTAGTCAACAAAAAAGTAGGCACTCAAGTTGCAACAGTCCCAAGCTCTTGGCCTCACTTGGGATAGAGCTGTTCACCTTATCCAACTGGCAGTGCCAGAGATCAAAGCTAAGTTACAGAGCATCAGACCAAACAAGCATCCTTGAACTATGTTCATTTTCCTCCTTCCAACTAAAGTTATTCAGACTATTCTAGTCAAGCAACTAGCGGAGAAGCCACCCTTTCCCTTCCCTCCCCAAACAGGTATCTAGTGTAACCTATCCCATCCTCACCCCTAACCACTAGACCGACTCCTACTTTGCCACAGGCAAGGTCCCAACCTAATCCCATCCCTGCTGCAAGGCCATTTTAGCCTGGTCTGCATTTAGACAAGCCAGACCCTTGGGAGCAGGAGTACTATGTGGTGTTTCATCTAGGACACATCTAGAGCATTAGAAAGGATCTGTTGTGGGCAGCCATATTATTCAGCAGGCTCTGCTTGCTTAGTTCTTGCTGCAGAAAGGACACATCTTCATATGCTCCAGTTGCTGGTC